GAAGAAAAAGGAGTCTCTTATTCCCACTCCCAAAAAGCCTGGACTTACCTTTCCAGTTTCTTGGCTAGGCATCTTCTGGTTTTCACTTCCTCCAGATACAGCTCTTTGTACATTTCCATTTCTCCCCGTGTTGCTTCTTTCCGAGAAGCACTCTCTTGTTGGGTTTTTTTGACCCTGTCCAACTCACTTTCCAGATCTCTAATCCTTTCTTCCAACTGGATTCTCATGGAATCACAGTTACTGCCTCCGATTTGTCCTAATGTGTCCTGGTGGGCTTCCTGTGCCTGAAGGAGACAGTGCACCTTCAACCCCCACAAGAAAAAGAGAACTCTGCCCAGCAGAAAATTGCACACACCCAGTTCCAAGGGCCCAGCCTTACTCAGAGAGGCGGCTGTGCCTCCTCACTCCCAGCAGCAACCAAGGCAGAACCCATGACAGCCCTCCTGCCCAACCAGATTGCCTTCTGCCACTGCCTTCAGCAAAGACAGAAGCTAACACACAGAATACAGGAGCAAAAGAAAAAGACCCAAAACCATGGCCACAAGAGAAGTTTACGTGGTGCCTGTGGACACTGGGGAGAAATTCACTTACTTGCAGAACGAGGCTGACGTCTTGTAGCTGTGGACTTATTTCCTGGTCAGCTCGTTCTTCCACCTCTCTTTTACACTGTTCTGTTTGGCTGCCATCCAGCACCAAAGCCTCCAAACGATGATGGAGTTTTGTCACCTCTTCTTGCAGCTGACATTTGTTCTTCTCCAGTTTTTCACATTTCCCAAGCAGAGTGGACAGCTCTTCTTGCAAAGCCTGGTTTGGGGCCTCTGGCTGCATGCCTGTTCCAGGCTCCATGTCCAGCTGCTGGGAAAGTTCACCACCCTGGACACAGAAAAAAAAAAAGGAAACTCATCATGATCTAAAGGCAGTGAATTCTGGGAAAACCTCTCAAGGGGGTGGCCATGGCAACTGTATTTATCATCTACTGGAAACGACCCTAGAAAACACGTGAAAGATTCCCCAACAGAAAGAGGAAACTTTAGACCGACTTAAAAATTTGTGAGACCCTTCTGGCAGCAATACTTGCGGGTCCCTTGGAGTTCAGGATGAAACTCATTAGAATCTAAGAATTCCCCCAGTGTCCAGCACAGCAAAGACCCTCAGGGTTTTGTAGCAGCTGGGGAAAGGAGCAGGCTGCTTTCTGAGCAGCCTCTACTGAGGAGAAGGCAGAAACTGAGCTCCCCTGGGCTCTCCAGGGAAACTTCATCTTCCAGTTTCCCCACAGAAATAGGCAATTAGGCTCAAGAGTCACAGAAAGGCAAATTTAGGACCAGCTTACTGAGGCAGAGGCTTGCAGGTCTCTCGGAAGGGCTTCAGCGCTATCGCTTGGCTGCTGGACAGTGGCTTCCAATCTGCTCTTTCCACTTGCAGAGCTTAAGAAGAAATACAGGTCTTATTGCCAGAAAATCCAATGCCAGACAAACTGTGCTAAGGAACAGAATCCACAGCAGAAGTGTCCTTCAAAATCCCACTGACTCTCCCCTTGTTTCCACCCAATGCCCCAAAGCCACAGACCCCTCGCTTCATGGGTTACTCTCTTACTGTTGCGCGTCTTCTTCCAGTTGTTTAAGAGTGGTATTAGTCTCGGAAGATGCCAACGGGAGGTCCTGCATTTTCTGGGAAGAAGTTGTTGCTTCTCTTCCCTTGTCATCCAAAGCAGTCTTCGAGTCACCAACACAATGCTCGGACTGAAGATGCTTTTCTTCCTCCTCCCGCAGCTGTAAAATCACGGGAAGAATGCACAGTTGTCAGGGGAGCTTTTCCAGAGAGGAGCCAGCTGCTGCTGAGGAACTCAGGGGCTGCATGTCTGTGTGCATCCCCTCTGCCCAAAGAACTGCAATCCATTCAAGTCCCTTCAAAGCTTCACTTCTCCTCCCCAATGAACACAAGCTGGATGCCTTTGTCCTCTTTTACAGCAGCCTCTCCTATCCCTCCACTGCTTTCCTACAGCTCAGTTCTGAGCACCAACACTGCCCCTCCGACCTGTTTTGTGACCTGGGACGTTTCTTGTATTCCCTTGCTTGCTACCCCAGGAAAAGATGAGGGAAATAGTTCATCCCCCTAAAGGAAGGCGTCTGGCAAGTGGCAGAGGCCAAGTGCTCTGGCACATGTGCTCTGGAGCCCAGGATTGCACCAGGGGAGCATGGGGAGTTTTCTGAAGTGGGAAAGACCCGCACTGTAGTGCAGAGAGAGGCGCCCAGTAGCCCCTGAGCAGGAAGCAGGGGATGCCTGAGGAGAGGCAGCTCTGCTTCAGTGTGGTGGGGCCAGGAAGGGTGGCATCACTGACAAGCTGATGAGCACCATTTCAGCAAAGGCAGCCAGGTGAACTGCTCCCCAGACCTGCCCTGCAGTGGAGAATGGCACCAGGGCTGCGTGGGGAGTCTTCTTAAAGCAGGAAGACCCAGAATGTAGCAGAGAGAGAGGAGCCCCAGCCCCCTGAGCGGTAAGGGGTGAAACCCTAAGGAGAGGCAGCTCTGCCTCAGCAGGGCGGGTTGTGGGGCAGGGGGCCGGAGGGACAGAGGCAGATCAAAGCCCGATGGAACTGCTGCTTCCTTAGGTCTCTGTCATAGTGACTCCCAGAATACTGTTTGGTCTGTTTCCATGATGGAGAGGAAGCAACAGGCACCCCCAGGTTTATCCCTGTGGGGACAGGCTTTCCATACCTCCGCGTCAGCCCTGTCCAGCTCCTCCTGCAAGCGCAGATTGTCTTCCTCCAGGTGAGCCTCATGGGTTCCAGGAACCACAAGAACAGTCCTAAAGCATCCAAAATTTCATCTGAGACATGTCTGATCCTGCCTCATTTTTCCCCTGCTTGCTCCCAAAAGAGCTCTTCCCCCCTTTCCTACAAGTTCCATGAAAGCAAAGCCAAGTCCATGGAAGCATTGGAGAATTTCTCTTACAAGGGGCCTCCCCAAAGCAGCCTCAGCTACGAGGTCAGGCCGTGCTGTTCAGGGCTCCTTGCACTGCTCTTCCAAGTCCCCACAGATGCAGCTGCACAAACTCCCGGGGCGAGCCCTTCGACCGCCTGAGCATCTCCAGGGCAGGAAGTTTTCTCCTTCTGTGCGCTCGGAGCCCCTCGTGTCCCCTGGGACAGTGCTGCTTCTCTTTCCCCCAACGCTTCCCTTCAGAGCACTTAAGGCACCAACTCTGCCTTGGCTTAAAGCTCCCTGGCCTGCAGAGCAGCCACGCTGCTGAGCTACTGGCAAGTTTCCCCATGGCTCTGGCTCTGTGTGGGGAGAGGGCACCACAGACAAGGCTTTCTTGCAAACCTCAGCGGGCAAAGGACGAGAGCCCCGAAGGTAGGAGAGCAGCCAAGTGCAGACCTGCATTTACCAGTCCCACAGGGAACTGCTTCCACGGGGCTCCTCCTTCCTTTTCCAAGCTCATTGCCACACCCCTTGTCTGGGTCACACTTGCAGACTACCCAGAAGACCCGTGGGCTGTTTTGACAAAGCCCTCACCTTTCCCCCTGGGCTTGAGCCTGCCTGTCAGCTGCTTTTTTCAGAAGGCACTCCATCTCCTCATGCTGTTGGAAGGCTGCAAGTTTGAAGGGGGTAAATCCCCACTGAAAGGAGAAAGAATCCCCATTAGAAAGACACAGACAAGCTGTGCAGCTGTTGCAAAGAGCAGCTTTAGCCACATGCCAAGGTTACCTGGTTCTGAGCATCACTCTTGGCATGATGCTCCAGTAACAGCCCTGCCACAGCTGTGTTTTTAGAGAGGACAGCCAGGTGAAGGGCAGTGTTGCCGTCAGCGTCTGCCAGGTTGGGGTCGGCACCGTGTGCCAGCAGAAGAGCAACACATTCTTCCTGCTCCTGCTGGACTGCCTGGGAACAACACAGGAAAAGGGAAAGATTCCAACTTTTACATGCCCCTCTGTCACAACTCCCTCATCTCCTGAACGCTGCCATAGAAGACCATCTGCAAAGATTAGCTAACAGAGGCCTGTGCCGTGCCCATTGCAATGGGCGTGTTTCTATGGCCCTGCCCTGCAAGGAATCCTGCCAGACACCTCCCCTTTAACACACCAGCACTGAGCCCCACCTACAAGCTCCCAAGGCATTCCACACACCTTCATCAGGGCCGTTCTCTTGAAGCTGTCAGCGAGGTTGGGCTGGCTGTTCTTTCTTAGCAGATATCTAACGACATCTGCATGGCCATTGGCCGAAGCCAGATGCAGAGGTGTCCTAAAAATTAAACAGACGCTCTTAACCCAGACAGACAAAGGACGAGCCCAAGCTGTGTCTCTACCCAGCACCCTGGGGACCCTGCCCGGACTCTGCTCCTCCCACTTGCTGCTGCTGCTGCTGCTGCTGCTGCTGCTGCAGCCTGTGCTGATCAGCCCGAGGGCAGAAGAGAAGAGGTGAGGGCTGAGCAGCTGCAGAACAGCCCTGCAGAGAGACCACGGCCAAGCGGCAGGTGGGCAACAGGCGTTTCCAACAGCGCTGGAGCCCGGCCGGCAGCTCCAAGCAGTGAAAAGCTCAAGAGTTCCCTCTCCCAGCTGACAGGGCAAATGTCACTTTTCAAGCCTTGTCCTTAAGAGAGGGCTGCCCAGGACTACTGCAGCTTGGCTCAGGAGCAGCCCAGGGGTGCCATCAGCGTGGCCCAGAACTCACCGCATCTCCTGGTCTGGCCTGTCGATGCCGACTACCTTGACGTACCAGCGCCAGCGCCTCAGCCAGCCCAGGTCGCCGCGGGCGGCCGCGCGGTGCAGCCTGCCCAGCCCCTGCTCCCGGAGCTGGGAGGTGCTGCTGGAGCTGGTGGCAGCCCAGGGCTGCCCGCTGGTGCTGCCGGATGGCGACTGCCGTCGCTTCTTGCTCAGAAGCCACGGCATGGCCCTGCTTGCAGCTCCCAGCAGCAGGAAGGGCAAGAAGCCCCCGGCGGGCTGCCGGGTGCCAAGTGGGGGTGAGGAATGGGACGAGGGCGAGGTTTAGGGTGAGGGTGACAAAGGGGACAAGGACAAGGATAAGGACGGGCACAGGGTATGAAGCACAAGGCGGACGAGGTCGCCCTGTGCAGTGGTCGTGGCCTGCAGCTGCCAAGACGGCGATCCAGGCGCGCAACGAACGCTCCCCGAGCGGGATGTGCTGCTGCTCCCCGAGAGGCTCCAGCAGCTCTGAGCGCCGGCTGCGGGCACCAACAAAGCCGTGCCCGACTGGCGCCTGTGACATCACAATGGCTGGGGGAAGGCTCAGCACGTCAGCGTGGGCTGTGACAGAGGCCACGGTGCAGGTGGGGCCGGGCGGGACATGGCAGGGCGGGGCAGGTGTGAGGGCGGCCCTGCTGGGCCTGGGGGGAAGGAGGCGGCCTGGGCCTTGTGAGGGTGGCGGTCACATGTCCTCCAGAGGCTTTCTAAGGAGGCATTTTGCTTTTAAATAAACAGATTTGACTGCTTGCCAACTGGCTGCTGGGTCCTGTCTTTTCTATTCTATTAATATACCACACCAGGACAATTCCCCAACTCCTTTGTCTTGTCCCTCTTGAAGAGCAGACACCTCACCCCCCTCCCCCTCGCAACTGCTCTCACCTGCTGCTTTGCCAGATGCCAACAGTGAATTTCTGCTCTGCTGCTCCACCAGCCAACGGGCAGCACACAGCAGGGCAGGAAGAAACTTTCAAACACATCTTGTCCCACTTTGTCCCAATGACAACACCAAGTGAAGGCCCAGAGGTTCTGCACCAGCTTGCTCAGGGGAGGGACGCAAGCAGGCTGGAGAAATTTCCCTTTTTCTTTGCGGGTGTATCAGGGTTGTATCAGATGTTGATACTTTTGGTCTGTGTTTGGCCCAGTCACCTGGGGGAGTCTCTCCTTTTCCTGCCAAGTTAGGAGAAAACAAGCATTGCTAAATGGGAACTTGGTCCTTGAAGGAAGCGTTTTGTACAAACCACAAGGAATTGGTGTCTTATTATTGCCTGGTGGCCTTCCAAGGGCATTTGAAGAAGAAAGTGAAGAGGAGGGTGAGGAAGTACGCCCCCAGACTCATTTAGAAAAGACCCTCTGAAGTGTAGTGAGCAAGCGTGGGGGGAATTCCAAAGGACACACGCACGCGCAGAAGGGGCACCACTTACATGACATTGGGAGGGACTGAAGGCCTCTGGCTGGGCGGTGCTGGCCACACCTGCCCAGGTAGACATCACCAATGAATTGGATAAAAAGCGGATGGCTCGTGCTCGGGAGACTCAAGCTTCACATCAAAGGACAACGTTGCCTTTGGCGGGGACGCTGCGATCTTGTGAGCCTGCCCACTCTCCCAGAATGCAGCTTCTGCTCTGGGCAATTCTGGGCATTCTGGGTCGGGAAGATAACTTCAGAAGCAACACCTGGGGGACTGGGGGAGTCGTACTGAGGGCTTATTTTTCTCCTCCTTCCTCTCTCTTGGGTTTTTTCCTTTTGTTGGCCACCTCTTGGGAATAAAGATTGTTTTGGTTGAGTTTTCAACGGTGTATGGTTTCAGTTTCAGCATCCTTCCCAACTTTCCTTGTTCCAGCGGGCTACAAACCAGTCTGCTTCCCACAGGATCAGGGATTTGCCTGTGTTTTTATGGCTACCAGAAGCTCACCCACCATCTTCTGCCCAGAACACAAAGAGGAGGGCTCGAAAGCACTGGAAGAGTCTGGCAACTGAGTAGTAGCAATAGCTCAGCTGTAGGCCATGATCTTAACAGGACTGTGCTTCAAGCCTTCCCGGAGGAAGGGCACACATCTGCCTGGCCTCTGGGACAGGCTGAAGATGCAGCTGTGAGCAGAGCTGAAGGGAGCAGAGGAGAGCTCTGGCTCGGCCTTCAGGCCTGGCTTCTCTTTCAGCCTTGAAGATGTCTGCTGGACTGATTTGCACTCAGACCAAGGGCAGAGAGAGAAGTCTGAACTCCCCGCCTGGGAAGAAAGCCTTAAGAAGCCTTCAAAACTATGACTCTCCTCATCCCTCCCACCGAGGTCCAAAGAGCTCCAATTCTGTCACCAAACGCAGCAGTTCTCCTCAAATGTCGGGACAGTTCTGGCAGCCAGGCCCTTTCTGCCAAAGTTGGACAGGTCCCCACCTGTCCCAGAGGCAAGCAGAGGGAAGAAGAGGGGACAGCCTTGGGATTGGGGAATGGGAGAAGCAAAGCCGGCAGGGGGAACAGAAGAAAACAAGGACACATACCAGACTCTTCAGTTTATTCAAGACCAAGTCCAAGAACCTCCTCACAGATTGAGATTGTTCAATCTCAAATTGTTGCCAAGATGTTCCAGTCCAGTTGAATAGAGAACCAGACTTGTAGCTTTTGTCTTATTTCCTGGTCGACTCCTTCTTCCACCTCCCTTTTCTATTGTTCTATTTGGCTGCTGTAAACTTCACTTCAACCTTAAGTTCAAACCTAAAAGGGGCGGTATTCCAAGGAGGAGACTCCAAATTAACCGTCTTCAATCAGCTAAAGGGAAAGACAACTTTCAGGCAAACCTTCAAACTAGGCTCCAGGATCATTCCATAGATCCCTCTCCTGAATCACTTTGGCAACGTATTAAAAACAGCATCCTGCAGTCCTCTGAAGAATCCTGAGGGTTCTCCTTCAAGAAGAACAAGGACTGCTTTGATGAAAACAATCAAAAGATCCAGGATTTGTTGAGGAAAAAGAGAACTGCCCACCACGCACACCTTGCTCAGCCATCTGGTCATGGAAGAAAAGCAGCCTTTGGTCTCACATGCAGCAAGCTCCAACAGCAACTCCGTGACATTCACAACAAGTGGTGGATCAGTCTAGCTGAGAAAACTCAATTATGCGCAGATACAGGGGATCACAGAGGATTCTATGAAGCCCTGAAAACAGCATACGGGCCTACATACCAGGTCCAAAGCCCCCTGCTCAGTGCAGATGGTCAAACGCTTCTGACAGATAAAACCTCCATTCTGAATTGATGGTCTGAACACTTTCAGACTCATTTCAGTACCAACCGTGCAGTTCAAGACTCAGCAATTCAGTCCATCACACAACAACCAGTGAAGAATGAATTGGATACTGCCCCTACTAGGGGAGAAACCCTTAAGGTCATACAGCAGGTGATAATCGGCAAGGCAGCTGGGGTTGATGGAATTGCACCTGAAGTCTGGAAGCACGGGGGCCAAGCACTCCACACTAAATTCCACAAGTTTGTGGTGCGCTGTTGGGAACTAGGCCAACTACCATCAGACCTTGGTGATGCAGTCATCATCATCTTGTATAAGAAGAAAGGAATTAAATTAGACTGCTCAAACTACTGGGGTGTTACTCTGCTCTCCATTGCTGGAAAAATCCTAGCAAGAATACTTTTGAACAGACTAATACCTGCTAGAGCAGAAGAACTTCTTCCTGAAAGCCAATGTGATTTCAGAGCCAACAGGGGTACCACAGACATGGGATTTGTTCTCAAACAACTGCAAGAGAAGTGTAGGGAACAGAACAAAGGTCTCTATGTAACCTTTGTTGATCTCACCAAGGCTTTTGATACTGTGAGCAGAAAAGGTCTGTGGCAGATTTTGGAACATTTAGGTTGTTCCCCCAAGTTCCTTAAAATGATCATCTCACTCCCTGAGGATCAGCACGGCCAAGTCAGATGTGGTGATGCACTTTCTGAGCCCTTTCTAATCTCCAATGGTGTGAAACAAGGCTGCGTTCTTGCACCAACCCTATTCACAATCTTTTTCAGCAGGATGCTCCAAAGGGCCACGGCAGACCTCGATGAAGAAGGTGGGATCTACATCCAATATCGTACCCATGGAAGCCTTTT